AGGGGATGGTGGGAGAGGAGGCTGAAAATGCAAGTTGAGGTCAGATCACGTGGGTTCCTGGAATGGGGTTAGTCAGGATTCTAAAGGGCCAAGAAGAGCAGGAACTTTAGGGTGGCAAGTCTTGAGTTGAACCTGGCTCTGCCACTTAGATGCAGATGGCCCTGGTTAAGCCATTTCCCCTTCCTGAGCCTCCACTTCCTGACCTATCAGATAGGCAGTTTCTGTGACAGTAACCGTAGGTCAGCCTGTCCGTGCACGTACCAGGGGAGGTCTCTGCCTCTCCCGAAGGGAAATGGGAACTCCCCGTTTCAAAAATGCACCCTGTGCCTGTCTCCACCTTCACACCCACCAGTCCGTGGGAGGAAGAAGGGAAGGAACCTGAGGTGCTGTGTTCTCCTGCTGGTGTCCAGGACCTAGTGACAACAGCACGTCACCAGTCCAGGCTGAGGGCATCACTGCTGTCCAGACGGGATTCCCCACTGGAAACGCTCACCAGATGAGTCCCTGGGACCAAAGCTACAGACAGGGGCTCGAGGTTCCTGAATGTCATCCATCTTAATCTGTCACCTGCAGGTTAGCCCCCAATCAGCTACAGTGAGCCCACAGAGTGGAACAGCCCAGACTGGCCCACGCCCCTTCGTGTGGGCTGAGGCAGCATCACTGGGGAGACCCCGCCGTGCTCACTCCTGACTTCAGGGGAGTCACCTGGAAATGACAGGGACGGGGGGGGGCTGGGGGCGGGGCTTGGAGCTTCGGATATTCCCCTTACGCAGAGAGGCCAAGATAACCAGGTTTCCAGTCCAATGTCAGCAGTGATGCTCCCTGTCCAAGCCACAGAAGAGTGTTTAGAGTCCTCCTCCTCCCCTTCACTTGTGTTTTTTTTTTTATTGTTGTTTTGTTTCTTTTGGTGTGGAAATGTGGGGAAGACAGTCCGGCACGCTGAAAAGAGCATGCTTTGGGCATCAGACACACCAGGATTAAAATCCTGGCTCTGCTGCTTTTCCTAGCTTTGTGGCTGTGGACAATTTACTCAAACCTTCTGTGCATTAATTTGCTGGTCTCTAAAATGAAGATCATAACACCCGCCTGCGTGGCTGTTGTGAAGATGACGTGAGGCAGTGCGTTCCTAAGGGCCTGGTGTGGTGCTGGCACCTGGCTGGCTCACAACTGTTGGTTCCCTTCCTGAACTCGCTTCTTCTTCCCTCCTCCTCTTGCAGAGCTAGAACCATCCCAGCCCCATCAGAGGCTCCCTGAAGCTGAACTTTCAGTGAGTGGCTCTGTTCATTCTGCAGAAATGGAGCTCACCAGCCAGTGTCTGGGTACCAGAACTTGGGCTCTCTGTTCAGAATGGAGACAGCCCTCAGCTTGTCCAGAGGCACCGCCCTTCTGAACAGGATCGTGCCAGGAGGCGAGTTCCAGCGCAGACTGGATTTACTCTGGGAATCCAGAAAGCTGGTCCTCTGAGCCAGCTGTCCGTTTGGCTGAACTACATTCTATGCTGCTTTCAACTTTCCAAAAGTGTCCATATCCGTCGCCCCAGCTAATGATAAAGTGGTTCTTTGGTTTCCCATTTGTCACCATCCCTTGAGTGAATAGCTCCCTTAGGAACCCGACAGATCAGGGGTTGACTGACAGGCAGGATTTGGGCATTCCAGAGGCCCCTCTCCAAACCCAGGCACACCCCTACCATGGCTGGGCGTGTGCCGGGCGGAGCTGGTGCATCTTATGTGCCAGCACACTCACTGCCTCCC